ACTCCATGTAGAGGCTGTTGGTAAAAGATAGGTCCAGGTATACGGAAAACTTTCAGGCAACATCAGGGAAACTGGTCATCCATAATGAGTCCAAGTTAGTGCTAAGTGAGGAGACCAGTGGAAATGTGACCAGGCTGTTCAACACCGGCTCCACTTGATGAGTAAGGGGAGTGTCAAATATCTCCATCTCAAGCAGAAAACAAATGGAAAAACTGAACAGACAAGCCAGAGCCAGAGACAGAACAAGAATATCAACATTTGTACCTAACCGAGAGCTTGTTTTTCTTCCACAGTCTGATTTTCAAAATGGAGGCTTGGCGGCAAAATTCTTTTGCTATTTCTCCAGTGGCCCAAAAAGTAGCCTGAACTTTTTCTACCTCCTGTTTGTCAAATATTGAGTGTTCATGTTTAATGCTAGATGCTTCTTTGCTTTGTTTCATCCAAACTGATCAGGAACCCCTGGTCCATACCCAGCAGTACGCATCACTTACCTGGGGTACAGCAATGAGTATGACCCAGGGGTGGTTGGGAAAGACTTTAGATGTTCAGAAACGTTCAGACCAGACCACATTACTTTCTCGGCTTGGCATTTCAGGGACCCACAATATTTACTAATTTTTTTTTTCATATTTATTTTCTAGTTGGCGCTTGGGGGCAGGAAGGTAAGATATGCTTTCTTTCCTTGTTGTGAAACCAACCTGGCATTCTTTGTTTTTATGAATAGAGCTTTCTCTAGACTCCCCCCCCCCAACAGAGCTTCCCCAGAGACCCATAAAAGAGGTTTTGTACCACCTTCTCCTTTGCCTTTTCCTGGTCAGTCTAGAGATAGTTCCAGCCCAGAAGAGGAAAAGCAATGGAGATCATAGGAAATACTAGTCTTAACCATTCAAAAGAAAAAAATTGAGACTGTTGAGTTGAATGTGCCAAAAGTTTTCATTTGTTTGCATTTCATATTTGATGTGGGATTTTGTAGAAGGTATGAATGTATGCACGGGGATGTGGTGAATAAGCCTCTGGAGCATCATTTGGGTGCACCTTAGAGTCACATGTCCAAATACTCTGAATGTATGTGCATTGCATTCATGTGTGTACACAAATGTGAGTACACCTGGCCTGGACTTACTTCCCGATCACAGTGGTAGAGTCAGGAATGTCCCAGTATTGGAAGGCTTTCTGTTCAATCAGCTCCTCTGTGCTGAGTGACCCATTTTGTATTTAAAGGCGGCCACTGGGCCTGTCTACATTCTGTGACACTGCCCCCTTAGCAATGTTTTTAGAATTCTTTCTTTTTTTTTTTCTTTTTTACCCTGCAGCATGCTTTAATATTACCTTATTGACAGATGGAATATGTCGAAAGCACTCATGTGCTTCAGGGTAACTAATCTCTTCTGCAAGCTACTGCCAGTTAGAGTTGATTTTCTTCATCATTGATTTATGTGCAATACCTCTATCCTTCTTTTTTCCCCAGCTTTATTGAGATATAATTAATGTATAACACAATGTAAGTTTAAGGTGTATGATGTGATAATTGATATTGCAAAATTACTACTTCAGATCCATGTTTGTAAATTGCCATCAGGTGTTAATGTAGGATGTAGGGCCCCAAACAGCTTTTCCTATACAGTCATGAGGAATTTGAAGATCCATTGTTGTCTTCTTTTTAATTTAGAAAATTATATTTTATTTTTTTAAGATTTAAAAAAAATCTCCACACCCAATGTGGGGCTCAAACTTACAACCCCAAGCTCAAGAGTCGCACATTCTATCAACCGAACCAGCCAGGCACCCCAGAAAAATCACATTTTAATACTGTAGAGAATTGGAAAGATAAATATAAACTTGTCCATAATTATTTCACCAGTCATAAACATTGCTGACAGGCTGACACAATTCCATGATGCCATCTTTTTTTCCTTTTCTTTTTCTTTTTTTCTTGGAATTGAGTTGACATACAATGTTACATTAGTTTCAGAAGGTCCTAACCCAGGGGAGCAGGGTCTGTCTTAGTGGCTGATGGAAGTATAGCTAATAATTGCTTTATCATTTCCTTTCCAGAGACTGAGGATGCTATGGGTAAGAGGATTTTCACTCTACACCACCTCTTTTCAAATGTGAAACAAAATGGTATTAAGGACAATCGTAGTAATAAACACTGAGAACCAGAACTACCAGAGGAAAAATACAATTGTCTATCAGTAGGATTTGTAAGAAATGCGCCTATGTCTGTTGCTGTCATGTATCCCTGAGCACGCATTCAGGGAAACATACACCTGTGGGTGTGGGTGAGAGCCACCACAGAATTTTTATGTAAATCAAAAGTTCTTTGAAGGCACAGAGGGCGTCTTATTCACCTGGCCCAGTACCTGGCACATAGTAGGTGCCCAGCAAATATTTTTTAAATGAGTAAATGTTCACTGATTCCCTTTCTTCAAGAAGCTGATGGTTTTCTGTAAAAGATAAATAACTGATAATACAGTGTGTTGTGTGCTGTGATATGGGAAAGTACCAGATAAAATGAAGTATAAAAACAATAGTGGTCAACTCTACAGAAGATAGTGGGGAAGCTTCCCCAGAGGTGATTCTTGAGCTGAGTTTTAAAGGATGAGCTTTGGGACGCTGGGATGGCTCGGTCAGTTAAATGTCTGACTCGTGATTTTGGCTCAGGTCATGATTTCAGGGTCATGAGATCGAGCCCTGTATCAGGGTTTGTGCCGAGCATGGAGCCTGCTTAAGATTCTGTCTCTCTCGGGCGCCTGGGTGGCTCAGTTGGTTAAGCGACTGCCTTCGGCTCAGGCCATGATCCTGGAGTCCAGGGATCGAGTCCCACATCGGGCTCCCTGCTCAGCAGGGAGTCTGCTTCTCCCTCTGACCCTCTTCCCTCTCGTGCTCTCTATGTCTCATTCTCTCTCTCTCAAATAAATAGTCTTTAAAAAAAAAAAAAGATTCTGTCTCTCTTTCTCTCTCTGCCCCTCCCGCTCACATGCTCTTTCTCTCTCTCTCAAAAAAAAAAAGTAATAAAATAAAGGATGATTTTGTATTTTATTTTTTTTTAAAGATTTTATTTATTTATTTGACAGAGAGAGACACAGGGAGAGAGGGAACACAAGCAGAGGGAGTGGGAGAGGGAGAAGCAGGCTTCCCACAGAGCAGGGAGCCCGATGCGGGGCTCGATCCCAGGACCCTGGGATCATGACCTGAGCCGAAGGCAGACGCTTAACGACTGAGCCACCCAGGCGCCCCGATGACCTTGTATTTTAGGAAGAAGAATATTTTAGTCAGAGGAGTTAAGGCTGTGTAGTGTGAGGTTAAGAAACTAGACTGCCATATTTGAAGCCTGGATCAACTTCTTATTCGTTGAGTGTCTGAATAATTTACTTCACTCTTCTATGCTATAGCATCATCGTGTATAAAATGGAAATAATAATGATACCTAGTTTGTAAGGTTGTTTTAAGGGTGGAATAAGTGATTCACTTAGAACATTATCTGACATATAGAAGCAATGGGTGAATTTTAGTTATTATTCTATGGGAAGCATGCAGACTAGATAATAAGCATTAGAGTTTATTGAGCATGCGTATTCTAGGTATTGCCCTAAATATTTTACCTGAATTCCTCATTTAATTCTCCTAATGTCCTTATTCTACAGATAAGGAAACCAAGGTTTAGAAAATAAATAGCCCAAACATCGAGATAAATAGAAATGCAGATTTAGTTGATACTGAAGCTCATTTTCTTAACCATCATGAAACACTGTCTCTGGATGGATGTGTATTAAATCTTTGTGAGCATTCTATTTCTAGGCACAGACGTCCAGGCCCTTGTATGAGCATGTATGTCTAAGCTCTGCTACCAGATCTGCGCTGATAAAACTCCTGAGCAATTTTCTTTACATTCTTTACATTTCTTTTCAAACAAACACACCACACAGAGGGAAGTGTCTATTTACTTTTAAATGGTTTTATTTATGATTTCTAGCTTATTTAACATTGCTAAGAAATAGCAGTATTGAAAAATTATTTCTAAGTCAAAATAACATCAACTATCTACATCATTATACTCAACCCCCAATTATTAGCAGATAGATAAATCTGGAGAATGACTTGTTTACCATTCCATATGATCTCAGCCAGAGAGGTGCCTGAGCAACTGGGTCAGAACTCAGTTCTGTTCTCCATCGTAGCAGGACTCCAAGAAGGAAAGGAAGAAAGTAACTAATATTTTTCTTTAAGCATCTGCTATGTACCATTCATTTTAATCAGCATAATCCATTTAATACTCACAAATACCCTGTGAGGTGGGTGTTTCATCTCCATTTCCCAGATGAGTAAACTGAGGCTCAGAGAAATTCAATGACTTGTCCTCAAGCACACAGCCTAAGGCAGATCTGGGATCCAAACACAGGGCTGATGCAGTCTAGTGCTCTTTCCCCAACAGCATACTGTAGCAAAAAGCCCCCAACAGGGAGAGGGCTGTCTCTGAGCACTACCACCTCTCTTGTATTCCAGCTGCCACATCCAGGCTTCAGCATAACCTAGTGCCGCCCTGTGTCCCGGCCACAAGTCTTCCAAAAAGCAAGGATGCACCCCAGCTGCACCTCCCAGGATAACATTGCCTGCTGTGGGGAATGTGCCTGGGCCCCTAAATTATCTTAGCAGATGTTGTCCACACCAATAGTGCCTCCCTCTAACAAAAATAATTGAGAGTTGATTATACTCAGGAGATGGTTCAACATAAAGCCACTTTTTATTGGAAGAACCATTCCCTTAAAATGAATACAGTCCTTTACATAATTTAAGGGCAATGAAAGAAAAGCGGTATAAAATAAGGGGAAGGATGCTTGATCTCTACTATGAGGGATTCTGTTCATTATAAGAGAGAACTTCTGAATGATGAAAAATAGGTAAGACCAAGAATCAGTGGCTCAAAGATCTTGTGAAGATGAGTGAAGGTCTTTACTTCTGAGAAGACCCTTTCGTGTCTATCCAGAATACAGTTCGTGCTAATGTAGGAGGCTGAGCTTGAAGACTTCTAGAATTTTTCAGCTTTAGGGTTTTAAGACTTTCTGAGCTTCAGTGGATCTGGATCTAGGGGCACATGCTGGTATAGTCTCAATGTGATGCACCTGAGCTGCATCAACAAGCATACCTCACCTTCAAGGCTTGGGGCTCCCTAAAGGATGGGCCTTCTTTGGAGGTTCTTGGGGATAATGTCTAGTCCCACTTGAAAATTTTTGTCTACAATTTAAACTTAAGCCAAGGTTATTTTCTTACAGTGCTTTCCTTTTCTCATGTTCAGGTGAATCAACAGGTTCACCTCCAGAGAAAGGTAAGTTTCTCTGTCTTTCATGTATGCCTTGAGGATGCAGGTGGGTGGTTAGAGGAAAGGGAATTGGTTGGGAGGGATTATCCCCAAGAACTGAGGTCATTCCAACTCCTGTTTTGGAAATATTCTCAAAGGGACTTTTCTAGGCTTTCCTTTACTTCCCTCCTCCCCTTCCCGAGCCCCCATGTCCATGCCTAAACTCTGAAGTCACACTCGAAACGTTCTCCAGTTCCCCTTCTCCATCAGATCCCCTCTTTCATGCCCTCTAGCCAGTAGAGCTCCCCTTTGATGAGAAAATCCAAGACCTGGATGACAGATGACTTTCTGCATCTGGTTGGTTCTTCTATTCCTAATTTACCTTTGCCAAAATCTTAATGGTTTCTCCCTCCAATTTCTCTTCTCTTCTCTCCCATTTCCCAGAGTATAAAGTCTCCATCTCCGGAACCACGGTAGTGCTGACATGCCCTGAGGAAGCTGAAGCTGAAAATCTAAAATGGGAAAAAGATGGGAAAAAGATACCACAGGCTAATGAAAAGCAGCTATTTCTGGATGAATTTTCAGAAGTGGAGCACAGTGGTTATTATGCCTGCTATACAGACCTCTCGAAGAAGAACTATCTCTACCTGAAAGCAAGAGGTAATATAGGTCCCCAGAGCAAACACCATGGGACACCTTAGAAAATTTTCAATCATTTTTTTTAAAGATTTTATTTATTCATTTGATACACAGAGATACAGAGAGAGAGAGCATGAGCAGTGGGGGAGGCAGAGGGAGAGGGAGTAGCAGACTCCCCGCTGAGCCAGGAGCCCAATGTGGGACTCGATCCCAGGACCCTGGGATCATGACCTGAGCCAAAGACAGATGCTTAACCATCTGAGCCACCCAGGCGTCCCTCAATCATTTCTTCTAACGCACCTCATGGTCCCCTGGTATCTTTGTGCTTCTCTTCTACTCAATCCTGAGACTCTCAGGGGCCACATAGCATCAGTGTTTTCTGAAATATGGATTAAACACCAATATGGGGTTATCTGGGAAAGCTCAGTCAGCACTTAGATCTAAAATAACAACTTTCCAATAGACAGGATTGCGTCATTTGCGTTATATCGAATCCGGAATTATGACACATAGATAGGGGTTTATCTGGTGCTTTATCCAGAGATCATTCTTCAGAAGAATTTGCAAAGCTGCTATGATAAAGTGTCATAAACTAAGGCATGATAATGATAGCTAACATTAGTTTCAAGCACTTGCATGGATTTTTTTTTCATATAATCCTCTCAACAACCATGAGTTAAGTACTATTTAGTTCCCATTTTTTATTTTTATTTATTTTTTTAAGATTTTTAATTTATTTATTTGACAGAGAGACAGACAGCGAGAGAGGGAACACAAGCAGGGGTGTGGGAGAGGGAGAAGCAGGCTTCCCGCTAAGCAGGGAGCCCGATGCGGGGCTTGATCGCAGGACCCTGGGACCATGACCTGAGCCGAAGGCAGGTGCTCAACCATCTAAGCCACCCAGGCACCCCTTAGTTCCCATTTTTTAAAAAGATTTTATTTATTTATTTATTTATTCATTTATTTATGAGAGAGAGCACAAGCACGGGGCAGGGAGAGGGGGAAGCAGGCTCGATCACAGCACCCCAGGATCATGACCTGAGCCAAAGGCAGATGCTTAACCACCCAGGCACCCCTGTTTTATTCCCATTTTACACAAGGGGAAACAGGGGCTTTATGAGTTGAAAACACTTCTCACAATTCTCATAGCTAGTGAGTAAAGGGACTTGAACCCAGGACTCTCTGACTCCAGAGCCTCTACCCATAACCTTCACTCTTTGCTTGGTGTTACATACATTGAAAGGTCTGGCTCTGTCCATGGCAAGCATGTGAGTAGTAAAGGGAGAATCGCCTTTATTTGTTCCTTGGTGGTCTCTACTGTCCTTATGTCTTCTTTTCTCGGTAATTTCTCTTCCCCTCCCCATATCTCTGTCCGCCACAGTGTGTAGGAACTGCATGGAGGTGGACCTGATGGCAGTGGTTGCAATCATTATAGTTGACATCTGCATCACTCTGGGCTTGCTGCTGCTGGTGTATTACTGCAGCAAGAAGAGAAAGGCCAATGCCATGCCTGTGATGAGAGCAACAGGTGCCGGCGGCAGGACTAGGGGTAAGACCATGGAGTTAAGTTGGAAGAGAGTCCCACCAAGGGGGGATGTCCAGCCTGGGCCAGGATGAGTGGCAAGTCCACAGCCAGCTCAAGACAGCTTCTATAGAACATTCCCTGTGTGGCCAACGTCTGGACAGAGGGTATCACATCTCAGATTGCTTCTCTCTGTCCTGCCCTAGAGAAATACAAAAAGTGTATTAACAGGATGGCTGTGGAGTGTTCTGGAGTAACCAGATTCCACACCTCCTCCCTCCAATCTGTGGGGAGAGAGACTTTGGGATCTTCGTTCCTGCCTTTTCCCTTCCCTTACTCATAGAAAAGGAGACATGGAAGGACTTTGAGCTGAGGAAAATCATAAAGTGATACGAAGAGTATGGAGGTCATTAGAGATGGGATTAAAGGAAACAGGAGACAGAGTGGCCAGGATGGAAAAAGGGAGGCCTAGAGGAGAGAAAGAAGGGGTTTGCCGTCCCTCCCAGATCTCGGTCTCATGGCCACGAGATGGGTGTTCCCTGGTGGGAGCTAACCCTTTCCCCCTCCCTCCTCTGCAGGACAAAACAAGGAGAAGCCACCACCTGTTCCCAATCCGGACTACGAGGTACCAAGGGATGGAGTGGGGGAGGGGATCTTTCTAGGGGAGAAGGGGACGGGTGGGACTGTCCATCCGGTCTGCCAGACACTTTGAAGCCCCTCACTAGGCTTCCCAGACAGCCTGCCTTGTGCCGGCCTCTGCCGAGCTGGGCTATTTCCGAGACTGCGTGGCTTCTACAACCATGGCATTGCGGGGGGGGGGGACACCCTCTTTCTGTGGCTTATTCACTGGCTGGGATACAGCATGGGGAATACCATGTCCACACACTCCCACATGATAAATTCAGCACTGAGGTTCCACCTGCGTGCACTGGTGCAGCCACACCGGCTGTTGAAATATTAAAGTACTTCATTGGTAAATAGCCCCCAGCTTGCTGCCCCGCTCTCCCAACACACACACTGCCAGACATCACAGCCTCTCCCCCCACTAGACTGCCTCTCGATTTGACAACTAAAGAGTTAATGCCTGACATGGCAGACAACCACCAGGATTGTTTCGATTGCTTGGTGTGTGTGCCCTACCAGTTGTTAAGTATCGGGAATATCACACCTGAACAAGCTCCACAGGCATTTATCAAGCACCAGGCAAGCAGGTGGTATTCACTTTCATGTAAATGACTCCATTTAATCCTGACAAATGCCCTGAGAGGTGGGTCTTTAGATTCCCATTTTGGAGATGGGAAGGCTGAGGCTCCCAGAAGGTGACAGGTTCAAATCTGTTACCAGTGGGCACCAAGTTAGAACTGGAGCCAGTCTCCTGGTTCCTAGTGCAAGGTTCTTTCCGTGGCACTAGAGCTAGATCTTCAGGGGCCCTTCTTTGTTAGGAACTACTTCCTCCCATCCTGCTGACCACAACCTCTCTATTCACCCCCCGCCCCCCAGCCCATCAGGAAAGGCCAGCACGACCTGTATTCTGGCCTGAATCAGAGAGGCATCTGACGGCTCCTGAGGACGCTGCCTCCTCCAGACCAGGTCTGGCTTCTCCAGGGCCTGCTACTCCCTGTACCCTGGGTAAATCCTGGACTCCAGAAGAGAACTGTTCCTCTGCCTTCTGGAGAACTCACACCCTGCAGCCTCGCCCCCGGCTCCCTCCATCCTGCCTTCTCTTCTGGCCCTCAGCCCTAGACTATCTTTGCCTCATTATCTTGTGAAACATCACAGCTCCTCGGGCCCTCACACCCGGGCTGCCCTCTGGTCAGGCTATTTATTTCTGTTATTCACCCCCACCATCACCAGTTCCTTCCTACCCTGCAGGAGATGTCCCTGCTCCCTTACCTTCCCCCCTTTCCTGGGAAGAACTTGCCCCCGTCCCTAACTATTGCATCTGTCTACCTTTCTTTTCTTCCAGCTCTCTCTTTGGCAATGCTTTGTGGGGATGGACTGGGTAACTCCGGCAGGGGACCTGCCCCATGCACAGACCCTGGCCCAGAGCCAACCTGTTACTCCCTACCCCAGGTCTTCCCTGCAGGCCCCTCCGTGAATATGCTAGGGCTCCCTGACAGCTGAGAGAGAAAAGAAATAAAGTGTATTTGGCCGAAAGAGTTGCTGTCCCTCTTTTCTGGGAGGCCCTCAGAAGCTGCCTTGTTTCCTCACGTCCTCCCTACCTTTGCCTCAATTCCGCCCCCTACCCCCCACCATGATCCCCAAAACAGGTGCTGCCACAGTCTTTGGAGAGGGTATTAGGGAATAAATAAAAAAGAGACAGAGAAGGTCGCCTGGGTGGCTCAGTTGGTTGGGCAACTGCCTTCGGCTCGGGTCATGATTCTGGAGTCCTGGGATCGAGGCCCTCATTGGGCTCCCTGCTCAGCGGGGAGTCTGCTTCTCCCTCTGACCCTCCACCCTCTCATATGCTCTCTCTCGCTCTCATTCTCTCTCTCAAATAAATAAATAAAATCTTAAAAAAAAAAAAAAGACAGAGAAAGAAGGAGAAAAAAATAGTCCTCTGACTCACTTCTCTTGGAGAAAAACACCAAGGATGGCAGAGAGCCCTGATGGGTCCCCGATGGAGTGGTCAGTTGAGAAAACAGAGGGACAGAAGCAGAAGCCTTCAAAGGCAGTGGGGGGCGACGGATGGGGAGCTTGGAGGCTGCAGGGCGGGGCCCAGATTTCCACAAGCTGCTGGGAGAGGAAGCCAGGGCTGAGCCCCCGGCGGGGCCGTGGTGAAGGAGGTGCTGTCGAGCAGCACCCTCCCGCCCCGCTGCGAGGCAGTCAGAAGGTGGCTGAGGTTTGGCAGGCCCGGATGTGGGCTGCGGGGGCCTGCGGGGGCCGGTAGGAGGGCCTGGCCCCACCCGGCTCCCTGTGCTCCTCCAGCACAGGGCGGAGGCTGGAGCTGTGAGAAGCCCCAGCGGGCCGCCTTCTCCCTCTCTGCACCCAGAAACCTCCCCGGCTGACCACAGGGCTATTTATGCATGTGGCCACCACGAAAAGGCCATTCGTGGTTAGCAGCCTGCCGCGCGCCGTGCACGCTCAGCCTCAGGCTTGTGGCTACAGGTTTGTTGGCCCCTGTCGAAGGTGCTTCTTGCCCTCTGTGCACTCAACACCGGAGGCTCACTCACTAGCTGCTGAGCAGCAGGCTGGTGCTCTTGTCCCAGGTGCATCTGATCATGTTCCAGGAAGGGGACGTGTGGCTCAGTGAGAAAAGCAGTAACAGCTAAGGGCTAGTGAGCACTGACTAGGCTCTAGAAATCACCCTCAGCACTTTCCATGCCTTATCTCATTTAATCCTTAGGACAGCGCAACAAAGTAGACAAGATGGATGTGTCCTCCTTTTACAGATGAGGCTACAGAGACTCAGAGAGGTTAAGTTATTTGCCCCAGTTGCACAGCTAGTGAGGGAGGGAGCAGGAATGAGCAGGCAGGACTGTCCAACTCCAACGCTCTGAACAGCTACTTGGTGCTGGTGCTGACAGTGATCATAAAGAATGCTCTCGGGTTTCCTGGCTTACAAGTGCTGTATTTAATCACGTAGGCCCTCCTGCAGCGAGTGCTTTACTCATCACTCATGTCGCAGACCAGCACTGTGCTAAGTGCTCAGGGGAGACAAAAAATAAATAAAATAAAACTCTCTCTCTCTCCTCTCTTCCCTCCCTTCCTTCTCTCTCTTCCATCTCCTACATACACATCGTGTTGGTTCTGTTTCTCTGGAGAAACAGAGAAACTAATGACAAACCCTGATATCAAAACCAGGCAAAAACATTACAAGAAAAAAAAAACCCTGCAGACCAATATTCCTTATGAATAGATGCAAAAATTCTTCACTAAATTTTAACAAATTTAATCTAATAATATATAAAAAGAAAAAAAAAAGAATAGGGCCACCCGGCTGGCTCAGTCAGTGGAGCATGCAACTCTTGATCTGGGGTTGTGAGTTCAAGCCACACGTTGGGGGTAGACTTTACTTAAAAAGGGGGGTGGTGCGCCTGGGTGGCTCAGTCATTAAGCCTCTGCCTTCGACTCAGGTCATGATCCCAGGGTCCTGGGATCGAGCCCCGCATCGGGCTCCCTGCTCAGCAGGTAGCCTGCTTCTCCATCTCCCACTCCCCCTGCTTGTGTTCCCTCTCTTGCTCTCTCTCTCTCTGTCAAATAAATAGATAAATAAATCTTTAAATATATATATATAATAAAGAATAATACATAATGACCAAGTATAGTTTATTTCAGGAATGCAAGATCAGTGCAACAGATCATGCCCCCAATGTAATTTATCATATTAACCAACTAAAGAAGTAAAACCATATAATCATCTCAGCGGATGCAGAAAAAGCATTTGACAACACTCACCTATTTTTACTAAAAATCCCCAGCAAACTAGAAAGAGAACGGAATATCCTCAATCTATTAAAGAGCATCTAAGAAAAACCTATGGCCAGTATCATCCTTAATGATGAAAGACAATGTTTCCTCCTAAGATCACAAATAAGGCAAGAACATCCTCACTTCCTTTCTATTCAACATTGTACTGGAGGTTCTAGCCACCGCAATAAGCCAAGGAACAGAAGTAAAATACATCCAGATTGGAAATGGAAGAGTTAAACTGTCCTTATTCACAAGCAACATCATCATCTCTGTAGAAATTCTGATGGGCTTTACAAAAAAAAAAAAAAATGGCACTATAATTAATATGTGAATTTAGGAAGTTTTCAGGGTACAGGATCAATATACAAAACATATTTCTAGATAATATCAAAGAACAACTGGAGATTGAAAGTTTAAAAATACCATATAAAAGAGCATAAAAAGTATAAAATACTTAAGGGATAAATCTGACAAAAGATGTGTTTGTGGATTGGCAGAGTCAATATCATTAAGATGTCGATTCTCCCCAAGTAGATCTATAAGTTCAACACAATCCTGATCAAAATCCCAGCAGGCATTTTGTAGTAACTGAGAAGCTAATTCACATGGAATTACAAAAGACCTAGAATAGCCAGACTACTTTCTTTAGAAGTTGCATCTCAGCCTATCCACTCCTGAGTATTTATCCAACAGAAATAAAAGCATATGTCCACACAATAACTTATATGTGAATGTTTATGACAGCTTTATTTGTAATAGCCCAAACCAGGAAATAACCCAAAAGAATATCAACAAGTGAATGGATAAACATCCTGTGGTATATCCATACAGTGAAATACTACTGGACAGTATAAAGGAATAAAATATTGTAGATGTACCAAGATGTATGAATCTCAAAATAATTATGCTGAGGTGTATGAAGCCGGACCAAAAGAGAGTACATATTACATTAGTACACTTATATAAAAATCTAGAAAAACAAAAACTAATCTATAATGACAGAAAGCAGATCAGTGGTTGCCTGGAGGGTAGAGGGAGAAGGGAGGGATTGCAGGCAAAGGGGCGCAGGGAAACTGTTCAAGGTGTTGGATATCTTCATTGTGGTGCTGTCTCACGAGGGTATACATGTGACAAAACATCACATTTTAGGCTTTAAATACATGGAGTTTATTCATGTCAATTTACCTCAGTAAAGCTATTTTTTTAAGATTTATTTATTTGAGAGAGAGAGTGTGTGTGTAGGGGGAGAGGAAGAGAGAGAATCTCAAGCAGACTCCCCACTGAGTGCAGAGCCCGACACGGGTCTCCATCTCACGACCCTGAGATCATGACCTGAGCCAAAATCAAGAGTCGCACACTCAAATGTCGGAGCCACCCATGCGCCCCAGTAAAGCTGTTTATTAAAAGCACAGAAAAAGAGGGACACCTGGGTGGCTCAGTCAGTTAAGTGTCTGCCTTTGGCTCAGGTCATGATCCCAGGGTCCTGGGATCGAGCCCCGCATCCGGCTCCTTGCTCAGCGGGGAGCCTGCTTCTCCCTTTGCCACTCCCCCTGCTTGTGCTCTTTCTCTCTCTCTCTGATAAAGAAAGAAATAAATAACTTAAAAAAAAAAACAAAACAGCACAAGAAAAGAGAACCAAAGGCACACAAGTTTCCAGAAGGGCTCAGGTGGAGGGCAGTTTTCTCAACCTTGGCGTCACCATGGAATCACCTTAAGCCATTTTGAAAGTCCTGATGCCCTCGCCCAAGATAATCAGAAGCTCTGGAGATTCCCAAGTGCATGCAACGTTGAGAACTGGTGAGAGGTATGGGGGGTTACAAGAGCCTACGAGGACTACAAGGTGAAGGGAAGTGTGCAGGGTGTTGGAAGGAGACAAGTACTGGGTACAGTAGAAGTCACCAGAAAGTTCCCCGAGGCGGAGGGATCCAATGTGGAAAGCAGGAGGCAGGTTAGAAAGAACTACAGTCCTAGGGATGTAAGGGGTGTAAAGCCATAACCACGAATGAAGCCTGTGTACATTGGAAGTTCCTTCTGTCTCTAACAAAATAAGCATCTGTGTATAGCTCAGGAAAATGGTGGGCAGAATCATCCAGATCTCTGTGTGGTTGTTCATTCTTTCTTTCCCGCTTTGGGAACCTTGGTCTTGGAAACTCTCACTCTTATTAAACTGTGCCGAAGTTCTTTCAGTTGCCATAACTCAGAGAACAAAAGGAGGGGTTGCCCCTGTGGTAGACAGGGACGAGCGTAAAGGACACAAAAGCATCAGCGG